CTTCCGTACTTCATACATGATACACAGATTTGTTGTATCAATACTTCAATAGATACACATTTTTTCTGTATCGATGAAGTCTATCCCCTATCTCCTCCCAAACAATATCCGGTTTAGGAGTCCATCCCCTATCTTCCCCTAAACCGTGGAGTACATCTCCTATCTTCTCCCATACAATACAATGTATGTAAACACATGTCATATACATAATCAATCAATACATAAATTTGATGTATTATTCCAACCGTCATATCCGATGACATATTCAATGTGATTAGTTTCAGTTTTCCCTAATCAACATACAGTGTCTACAACAATCAAGACTATCCTCCACTGATAGCCCAAAGCAGTTATTTCTAAACAGAAAATATATGCACTAAACCGATACAATATCAACATTTTAATGGGTGAGTGATTAATTAATCCAACTACACCATTCAATCCCATAATTCCCCAATTTCATGGATTTCAACTCAATTCCACACTTTTCCCAAATTAATTATACCAATTAATTTATTACAACACATTTAGGGCATTATTCCCGTATTCTCAAATAATGATCCTAAGACCAAATTCCACCAATTTAACTCTCAAGCCCACATTTCCAAGGCTCTAAATATACATGGAGCTTTAAAACACAAAACCCCTCTTTTATAAATTACAACCAAACCCTAACCTTTCCCAAAATCTCCCAACATCACCAACTAATCAAAATGATCAAAATTAAAGACAAAGCTCATAAGATGGAGTAGGATGTCCCTACCTCGAGATGAAGAGCTCAAATGGAGGAGATGACCAAAATCCAAAGTACTCCAAATCCAAGATTTTTCAGATTAAAAGGAAGCCCTCAACACCCTCTATCTTTCTTACAAAGAGCCTAGGCTAGAAACTCACTAGAAGTAGATCAATCCCTAGAGAGAAGTTGTTTAGAGAGAGAGAGAGCTCAGCTCTAGGGTTTTTGAAAAAGAAAGAGATGAAAAAGTGAAGTGTAATCCCGCTGCTGTCTACTGATATAGCGATCCCGGGTTTGCCCCCTTTATGTACAGTGTTCCGGACTTAGGTTCTGTGGAGTTGGTGGTTGTACGTCTTGTTGTCATCCTTTAATTCCATATGTCTGAGCTTTAGGATGTGTTGGGTGTGTTTCGAACAGGTGGGTTGAGCCTTAGTTCAAATTCTTGTTGCCTAGTTTTTGAGTGGTCCGCTCGAGCGGGTCCTTGTATGCTCGAGTGGAGATTCCATACTTCCAGCATTTCGTGCCTCTGCAAAAGTACTGCAGGCTTGTTTTTCACGCTCGAGCGGGTTTCCCTATACTCTAGCGGGTCGCGCTCGAGCGGGCCTTTTGGCGCTCGAATGGGTGTTCACTGTCTGAGAAAATACTAGGAGAGGAGAATCCACGCTCGAGCGGACTGGTTTTTGCGCTCGAGCGGATGTGTTTTGTTTTTGTGTCTTGGCACTCGAGCGGGCATTCTTGCACTCGAGCGGGTCTAGTTTTTGTGCTTGACGCTCGAGCGTCATGTTCTCCGCTCGAGCGGGGGTGTCGTATATCACTTGCCTTGAAATGGGAGTTTAATGTAACATTGCATGTGTTGAATGTATTGCAGAACTAGAAACGTATCATGAACATTGACTATGATATGAAATTGTGAATCATGTATATTGGAAATCGTTGGGTTTGGAAGAAATGCATGTGGGTAATACGTGTTGTGATGTATACTGTAGGTTGCCTCTCGAATAGAGACAGTGTGACCAGTAATGGGTCAGGTGGTTGATAGTTGAATTGTAATATTGTTGAGAAACTGATTTAATTTAAATCGTGGATTGTCATGCATTATTGGTGACATCGTGTTTATGAAAAATGTTTGCAAAATTTTTAAGTTTCGCATGGAAATTGCAAAAAAAAAAAAAAAATTACTTCAGAATGCCAACGTTGAAAATTTGATTTTCTTTGAGAAATGCCTCATGAGCAAGAGAATAATTTCCCTTATATTTATACAAAAGATTTGCGTTGGTTGTTTTATTTAGAATTATAATTGTTGAGAAGTGACTTAGCTGGGAGCGCTAGTCGGGTGTTTTGGTGATTTATCTCGGGAAGAGGTTGGTTTTGTTGAGGTCTTTTGTGCCTGAGTGTTTTCTGTGGAACGTGTTTCCTTAGTTAGTCCTTTCTTTTGTGAGAGTTAACTACAAATTTGTTGAGAGAATAGTTTCTTCCCTAAATGCTCGGGTATTGAGTGCTTTGCGGTCGGTTGACCTTGTAATTGTGTTGTTTTCTTAATTTCGGGGACGAAATTCTTTAAGCGGGGGAGGTTATAGCGATCCCGGGTTTGTCCCCTTTATGTACAGTGTTCCGGACTTAGGTTCCGTGGAGTTGATGGTTGTATGTCTTGTTGTCATCCTTTAATTCCATATATCTGAGCTTTAGGATGTGTTGAGTGTGTTTCGAATAGGTGGGTTGAGCCTTAGTTCAAATTCTTGTTGCCTAGTTTTTGAGTGGTCCACTCGAGCGGGTCCTTGTGCGCTCGAGCGAAAATTCCATACTTCTAGCATTTCGTGCCTCTGCAAAAGTACCGCAGGCTTGTTTTTCACACTCAAGCGGGTTTCCCTACGCTCGAGCGGGTCGCGCTCATGGAGGCCTTTTGGCGCTCGAGCGGGTGTTCACTGTCTGAGAAAATACTGGGAGGGAAGAATCCATGCTCGAACGGATTGGTTTTCGCGCTCGAGCGGATGTGTTTTGTTTTTGTGTCTTAGCGCTCGAGCAGGCCTTCTTGCGCTTGAGTAGGTCCAGTTTTTGTGCTTGACGCTCAAGCATCATGTTCTCTGCTCGAGCGGGGGTGTCGTATATCAGTTGACAGCTAGGCTATTTTGAATCACTTTTCAACTTCCACTCTCTCTCTTACTTTTCTGAAAAGCCATTGTTGAGAGCTTCTCTCACTACTTTCTCCCTTCTCTCTTAGGATTGATCTAGTTAGAGCGTTCTCCTACCCTTTGGCCTTTACAAAAAGTGTGTTGATCGTTGAGGGCTACATTTTGATCCGAAAAGTTTAGAGTTTGGAGCACTTTGATTTGGTCTTCTTCTCCGTTTGAGCTCTAACTTCGAGGTAGGGATATCCTACTCCATCTTATGAACTTTGTCTTTAAATTTTGGCATTTTGAGATGTTGGGGGTTGTCGGGTAATTTTGAAAAAGTTTGGGGTCCTTGTGTAATTTTCAAAAGAGGGGTTTTCAAGTTTAAAACCCATATGAATGGAATATGTTGGAAGATGGAATTGTATGTGGATCATTGATGAAAATGGAACCTTAGGGTTGATATTGAGAATATGGGGAGAAGCCCCAATTGTTATGATAAATTAATTTGTATAATTAATTTAGGGAAATGAGTAATGGAATAGGAAATATTCAAATTGGAAAGGTATGGGATTAAAGGGTGTAGTTGGATTAATTTATTGCTCACCTAGACAAAATGTTGATATTTTATCCAGTTGGTGCATTTATTTTCTGTTTAGAAATAACTGCATTGGGCTATCGGTGGAGGATAGTCTTGATTGTTGTAGACAATGCATGATGATTAGGCAAATTAAAACTAATCAATTGAGTATGCTATCGAGTATGGTGGTTGGTATAATACATCAAAATTTTGTATTGATTGATTGAACTTGTATATGATAATTGCTTATACACATTGTATTGTGTGGGAGGAGATGGGGGATGTACTCCACGGTTTATTGGAAGATGAGGGATGGACCTCTAAACCAGATTTTGTTTGAGATTGATACATCACTAAAATGTGTATCATTTGTGAAGTATAGAAGTGTTTGTTTGATTTGATATAGCACTAAAATGTATATCATTATCATTTGTGAAGTATGGAAGTGTTTGTCTGATTTGATATAGCACTAAAATGTATATCAGTATCATTTGTGAAGTATGGAAATCTTTTGTTGACTTTGATACAGCACCAACAAGTGTATCCATTATGCATTTCGAAAGTATTTTAGTGATGAGTTATCATCTCATTAAATTATGTGGCCAGACTCTGAGCCTTGTTTTCAAACTTAAAGTTGGATAAGAATTGGAAAATGAATTGTAATATGGACATGATTGTCATGAAACTGTAACATGGTATACGTTGGAATATAAGTGTGGACCATCTATCTAATGCTATTGTTTTAGTCATTGTTTATAGTTGGTTTAGTGTATTTCTACTAGGCTGTGGCTCACCCTATATGGGACTTCATTTTCAGGTACCGATGGTATGCCACCTCCAAGAACATAGTTTGGGAGGCTAAAGGCAGACAGACTATTTTGTTGTTTTGTTTTCTTTGGATGTATTTCATGTAAATTCAAGCCAAGGGCTTAATATGTATTTGAGTTAGTACTCTCTTTTTGTAACCAAGTGTTGACTTGGAAAGTTGTAAGCTTATAGGGCAATTACTTTTGTTGTCAACGTGTAATACCTTTTGTAAGGATACTCTGATGATTGTAATATAATATCTCTTTCCTGTAACTTGACTGTATGATATTATGGGTTTATTTTGAGGGTGTTACAACTGATATACGTATGACCCACTCGAGCGGAGAATAGGACGCTCGAGCGTCAGACACAAAAATTGTACCCGCTCGAGCGCAAAGATTCCCGCTCGAGTGCCAAGACACAACTGCAAAACACACCCGCTCGAGCGCAAAGGGAAAGCCGCTCGAGCATAGATTTCCCCCTTCCAGTACTTTTACACACAATGAACTACCCGCTCGAGCGCCAAGATACCCGCTCGAGCATGAAAAACGCACCTGCAGAAGTTTTGCAGAGGCACAAAATGCTGAGAGTGTGTAAACTCCGCTCAAGCGTAAAGGGACCTGCTCGAACGGACCATGAAAAATCTGGGCAAATAGGAATGGGACTTAAGCTCAACCAACCTGTTTGAAACATGCCCAATACATCCTAAAACTCAAGTATATGGAATTAAGGGATGACAAAAAGATATATACAACCACCAACTCCACGGAACCTAAGTCCGGATAAAACAATCAAAGAAAGAAGAACCAGGATCGCTATATGAACTGCTGTTATCCAAGTCTGACTTGGCTTGGGCCATGAGGAGATGAGCCATTTGGAGGAGCTCATCTTTAGATGACTTGGACTTGGGCTTAACCTTTGATTTGGACTTATTCTTTAACTTGGGTTGGTCAGTACTGGGCTTTGTTGACTTGGATTTAATCTTTGATTTGGATGACATGGGCTTGGAAGAACTGGATGTTGGGCTTCCAAGATTGACTGAAGGAAGTTGGCTTCCTTGTGTTAATGGAGCAGTTGGGTTCTGCTGAGCTTTAATCATGGCAGGTGTAGGGGCATGAATGTTGATTGGAAACTCAGTTTGAACAATTTCAACAATGCGTGGAATCTTGAAATTATCCCACCATTTAACCATGTGTTGTTGGTAAATAACATCATCAGAAATACCATATTGCCATTTGAATATCCAAGGGATTTTGTATTTGGATATAAAAATAAGCAATGGAGGGAATTTTCTTTGCTGTGGAATGAATGAGAAAACAATGGAGAAATAGTTGACTTGATCCACAATTATGGATGGGAAGATTTCTGGGATGGCGCCATACTAAGTCCACCATCGTAGAAACCAAGTAGGTAATTTAGATTTGAACTTTTTATCAAATTGAAGAAAGCAAGAGTGACTGTTTGACTCATTTTGATACAAGAAAACTTTAAACCAAGAATCCATGTAATCATAGTAACTGTATTGAATTGAATGACCAGGCAGATCTCGTAGTTGGTAAGGAGAACCCTAATCAACCAGAGAAACAAAGTTATGAATATAGAGTGAATGGTACACAATTTTACTTGTGTAAGTGCGATCATAAATGGGTTTAATCACAATTGACTAATGATTGAACATGATGTCTTTATAGAAAGTAATTATTTTTTTCTGGATGGAGAGGAACAAAATGCCATCCAAGAGGGAAATAAGATTGAACCAGATCATGAACAGTATGACTCTTTGGGTGATTAGGTTCTTTAAAAAAGAGATTAGTAGTGGTGGATTTAACATAATCAGATCGAGTTGACTTAATAGGGTTAGGAGGGTATGGAGTAACTGCTTGACTAGATGAAGCAAAAGGATCAGTAGCCAAAGCAGATGTATAACTAGGTTTAGGAATGTTACCAAGAATTTGGTAATAGTTAACCAATTCAGTTGGATGGTATTTGGTGACTAACTCCAATGGAGGCGAAACAAAAGGTTACTAGATGGGACCAAGACTTTGGAAGGAGGCCGTGGACGAGACATCTGTTTAATAGAAATAAAGATTAGCAACAAAACTTAACAACCACTCAAGAGGTCTAAATAATTTTGATGATAGTCCAAACAGTTGTAATAATCAGCGAGTAGATGGCGACGGGCTTGGATTTGATGATAGTTAATATACTGAGCCCGTGGAGGAGTTTTTTGGGCTAATTTTAGTCGAGCAATGCGGTAAGCAGTTTGGTGAATAAGAACTTGGTAATGGGTAATTTGGGATTTATGGTAAGAGATAAAAGGAGTGGCAATCCCTATCCCCCCTGTAAAAATTCTCGGGTAAGAAAGTCAGGAATAGAATTTTGACAACCAAGTATGTATTCAATTTCAAAATAAAAAATGATTAAAATAGATTGCCAACGAGCAAAAATTTGCTTACTAGCAAGATTTTGAACATCTTTTTCTAAAACATATTTAGCAGATTTGCAATCAACACGAAATAAAAACTTTTGATTTAAAATATCATCTTAAAATTTACTAATACATAAAACAGCAGATAAAATTTCTTATTTAATAGTACTATAATTCTTTTGTGCTTTATTCCAGACACCAGAATAATAACGAACAATTTGTTCAAATGACTGAGGAGTGACTTTCTGAAGCAGAATGCCACCATAACCAATATCAGAAGCGTCAGTTTGAATAATTTTGAAAGAATTTTCAGTAGGAATACCAAGAGAAGGAAGAGACTTGACATATTGTTTGACTTGTTTAAGAATAGCAGTATGAGTAGAAGAACAAGGAGGAGGATTATCCTTTAACCTATCAAATAAAGGTTGACAAGTTTTCCGAAGGTCTTTATAGAATTCGGCAATATAATTGAGTGAACCTAAGAACCGTTGTAACTGGGTCTTACTAAGATCTCATTAGGAAACTTAGAAGCAAACTCAATGGAACGACTAACAGGTAAAATAGTATTTTGGTGAATATCATATCCTAAAAAGTGGATTTTAGTCTGAAACAATTTAATCTTAGGAGCAGTTATGACGAGATCATGAATTTTAATAGTATCAAAGAATGCAGTAAGATGTTTACAGTGTTCACTAATTGATTTGGAAAAAATAAGAATGTCATCAATATAGACGATGGAAAAATGACTAAAAGGATTGAATATATCATTCATTATATTTTGAAATTCACTAGGAGCATTTTTTAATCCAAATGGCAAGACATTCCATTCATTGTGACCAAAAGGTGTAGTGAAAGTAGTTTTATATCTATCTTTAGGATGAATTTGAATTTGCCAAAAACCACTTTTTAAATCAAATTTACTAAAAATAACAGCTTGACTAAGTCTTTTTATTAAATCTTTTTTATTAGGAATATGATATCTAATCCATTCTAAAACTTTATTTAATGGTTTATAATTGATTACTAAGCGAGAAATACCGCGTTCTAATTCAGCATTTTTATTAACATAAAAAGCAGGACAAGACCATGGTGATTTACTTGTACTAATTATTCTATTTTTTAATAATCCATTGATTTCTTTTTTACACATTTCAAGTAATTCATGATTCATTTGAATAAGTCTAGATTTAGTAGGAATTTGTCTTTCATTAAAATTCTTAATATATAGTAATGTAACTACATGTTTTTTCCTATGCCAAAAGGCAGTGGGTAAAGTAGAACAAACAGTTTTTTCTAATTTTAATTTAAATTCTTTGATTTGAGAAATAATAATAGGATCAGTTAATTGTTGATCAATTCTTTTATAATTGACTTCTTCTTTGAGAAAACGTAACTGACGAGTTAATCGATTAATAGTTTGAGAAATAGAACAATCTTTTAATTGATTTAATTCTAAAATTTCAGGAGGAGATAAGAATTTAAAAGTAATAAGTTGATCCAAAACATGGGTAGTTATTCCTTCACTAGAAGAAGTAAATGGATATAGTAAAAATATGAATGGTGTGCCTAAAATAACCTTATCAGTCATATTTTTAACTAAAACAAAGGAGGTTTTAAAACAAACATTATTTTGACACATATGAACTTTGGGTAATTTATATTTAATATGCATTTTATTACCATTAGCAGAAGTTAATTTTTCACAACATTTTTCATAATATTTAGTAGGGAGTAATCCTTCTTAAATACAATTAAGATCAACACCAGTATCAATTAAAGCAATAATATTTAATTCAAAATCATCAATAACTAATTTAACTTTTGAATACCATTTTTTAATATGAATTTTACTGATTAGATTTAATCGTTTATCTTCAAGATTATGAGATGGAGATTGATGTGATCGATTATCAAACAAAAGATTTTCAGGATTAGTATGATCAGATTCATGTTCAGATTCATTTGGGGAAACTTCATTATTTGCTTGGAAAGTATCTAAACTTTTATTAAGTTTTAATGTAATAATTTCATATTCTAAAACTCTATCTTTACTTTGTAAATCTTTAATAGCTTGTTTAATCTGATTAATCTCATGTTGTAAATCCTGTAATGTAATTTCTTTTTGTTTATTTTTAAATCTTTCTAAAGTTTTTGATAAACTAATAATAGGTTTGTCAAACTTAGGATTCTTATCAGGATTGGTTAATAAAAATTTTAATTTGTTAGTTTATTTTTCTTTTAATTTTGGATCTTCTAAACAGCTAATTAAGTCAATAAGGGCAGATTCTTCTTGATTATGTTTAGTAAGAACATTGATTTGTTTAACTGGTTTACAACAAATATCATTACATCCTAATTCAATATTATAATCAGAATTATCACTTGGTGAATGGTAATCAGATGAAGTATTAGGATTATTAGAAGAGGCAGAAGAGGAATTACTAACAGATTGATTTAATTGGAAAATTTCATATAATTGATTTTTTGATTCATCATTAATTTGGAGTTGATTAACTTTGTCTTTTAATTTTTGTTTTTCTTTTCATTTATTAGAATAATGACCTTTTTTACTACAGTTGTAGCAAGTAATATCTTTATTATATTTAAATCTTGGATGTGATTTCTTATAATATTTCTTTTTGGGTTTAGTATAAAATTTATCATTTGATTTGGAGGGTGAATAATGCTTTTTATATTTAATAGAATATTTGTAGAATGATTTATGTTTGGTGTTTTTATGTTTTTTACGGCGAGAGAGTGCTACAAGAGGTAAGCCATATTGTTCACAGAAGTTACCTAATTCATATTTAGCCTTATGTTTATCTTTAGTAGCTTTTTGACAAAGTTTAAGATCAATACACATTTGTAAGCCTTCTTTTTGAATAGTGCTAATTATATCACCATAAGTTAAATTATCGTATTCAATAACACCAGTAGGTTGACTAAGGACATCTCTAATTTTATGAGTAAAAAGACTAGGTAATCCATTAATAAATTTTTCTTTCCAAAAAGATTTAGTACAATCTTCTCTAAGCATAACTCTAGAGGTAAATACATCTTTATACCATCGAAAATCACTTAGTGTTGGGCAAGTAAGATTACTAAGTTGATCATGTATGCAAGAATATATATTAGTAGGAGTTCCTATGAAATGTTTGACTATTGTATAGATTAATGTGTTAATTCCATCAGGTTTATAATAACCAATAGTTTCAACAAATATAGGTAAATCATTTTCATCTTTTTGATTAGCATGTAAAATTGATTCGCGGTGATCTTCATTAAGATATTTTTTCCACCAAGATTTGAGCATACCAGTAAAACCAGAAGTAATTAAGGAAACGATTTCAGGTTTAGTATAATCAGGGTAGTTACTAAGATAACTATTTGCAACCATAGATAAATGATTTAATGTTTGAAATATTTGATCATCACTAAGACCATCAATATTCCATTCGTATAATTTTTTAGCCAATATAGAAAATTGATTATTAAGATTAGTTTCTTCATATTGGAGATCAGGAGGTGTAGGTCGTGAGTACCAGAAGATTTGAGCATACCAGTAAAACCAGAAGTAATTAAGGAAACGATTTCAGGTTAAGTATAATCAGGGTAGTTACTAAGATAACTATTTGCAACCATAGATAAATGATTTAATGTTTGAAATATTTGATCTTCACTAACACCATCAATATTCCATTCGTATAATTTTTTAGCCGATACAGAAAATTGATTATTAAGATTAGTTTCTTCATATTGGAGAT